GAGTAATATGCGGCCGCGAGGGACGATTTGCTTCCGAGGGAGTTTTTGCCACGGAGCGCGAAACCTTCTCTCCGTGGCAAAAACTCCCTCGGCAGCAAATCGTCCCTCGCGGCCGCATATTACTCGCGTCGCTTAGAGAAAAAATAACGCCGACGCCCAACAAGACTGCGAAGGAGGCTAGCTAAAAGCCTGCCTAGGATACAGGGATAGGGTGGAGGTCGGATCACCTTGTTAAGGCCACGTGGGCCGTTAATGTTTCTGCTGTTTCTGATTTTTTCCACGGAATTTCTGCACGAGCCCTTTTGTTCCCCGTTTGTATACACCCTGTAACCACGGTACTGTTGATGGATAGAGTCTTCCTCTATTATTAAGAGTCGACCTATGGTTTCATACAGTTGTAATGGATGGACTTATGACTGCGTGGCTTCGATTTCATGTTGTGACCTCCGGTCGGAGTGTCGAAGTGGTTATAATATAAACATTGTGTCACTGTAAGCTGTTACGCTCTGATAGATGCTCTGATATGATATGATAATTTTTGTCAGATGCAGTATGATGAACATGTCCGTTTTTGCCTCTCCCTACAGGGTCGAGCGGGCAGGCAGGTCGGCCGGACCGCGGCAGGCGCACCCCGGGTGTCCGGACCTTGGAGCGGAGACCGAGTCTGCCCACCACCCGGACGGAGTCGTCTCTGGCCCGCGGGGTGTACGCACAGAACGGCGTCCCCAGGCCCGGGTCGTCCTTAGCACGTCACCTGCCCCCGCGGGCGGGGTCGGCCCTGGGGAGGAGCGTCACGCCCACGGGGACGCCCCGGATCCCGCCGACGTTAGTCCGCAGTAGGACGCCGACTAACGCCCACAGACTCGTGTACTCCTTACCGAGGAGCACCACGCCGACAGCCGAGATGACAGTTCCCGGGACCGGGCGCGCCACACCCAGGTTACCCCCCAGGCCACCCTCACGGACTGACCACCACACCCGGCCTCCGTCCAGAAATGACCAGCTACCTCGCCCCTCCTCAAGTAACGACCATTCTCAGCGTCCTCCCACAAGGAACGATCCTCGGCCACCCTCTAGAAATGAATCCCCTCTTCAGTCGCCTTCAAGAAACGACAATCCCTCTCCTCAGATGTCGCGAACAGTAGCAGATGTACATCTGGAAGCTGTGTTCTGATCGCCACCTATCGATCTAGACGTACAATGCAGTGATCTTGATTTGCTTCTGTTTTGAACGTATAGACGACTGATGTTTTCTGTAAACATCCCTCGATGAGGGTTTTGTTGAGTGAAACAAATGATCGATACACTAGTCTGGTACGGACTGCCCATCGATATTATGTCAGGCATTTTGACTTATTGTTGAACTTAAAAGGCATATGTACATGAATTTGATTTAGAATCAAAATCCATCATAACACTACCACCAAAAATGTTTTGTTTCAAGTTTGTTATTTTATTTTATCGTTGTAATAATCTCGACGTATGTTAATGTTCTACTTTAGGACAACAGCTAACTCTTGTACTTGTACGTTGTGCCTTGCGTATGCCCACATTATACTAGCCCAGTGTCTTGCCTTACCGTTTCCTACATTTGGGTAGGAAAAGGTTGAATATTTTCTATAGAAATACATTTTTGTATTGTTTATATCATGTGTGCATCTAGCTTTAGTCAGCAGATTGAATAAGCCATCTAGTTTTCTTTGTACAGTAACTTATTTTTCGTACAAAAATTTTATAAGCTTAACTTCCTCATATTTAACAAAAGTATATCTATACCGTTTATTACAATAATAAACAAGCCATTTGACGTTACGATAGCGAGTGCTTTGTGCAAATGTTTGAATGGTTGTTATAAGGGGTCTTGGGGTCAATACATTTATTATCCCTTATTATATCTAATGCCCCCCCCCCCAACGTTTGCAAAAAAAACACGAAAGGGGAACAAGACTGGCAATGAAAACATACATTGCCATGGCGACGGTGGTTGCCGTTAGGGTTATCGTTTGCATGGCACTGCCATCATTTCATGACTTTGAGGTAGCCTTCAGTCTAGACAGATACAGTGCACTCCTCCCCGAAGTGTATAGTGAACGAGCCCCGGGGTCACAGAAAGTAGGGCCATCCGGGGCAGTCAGGTCTTCCCAAGGTTTCCAGGAATGTGGGCATAGATGTGGGTCAGAGACATGCCTGTGGACAAAATGCCTGTACCATTCCTAGAATTCTTGCAAACTGCACACAATACTGTACCATTAGGCTCCTCCCTGAGACGTCGCCAAAAAAAGGAAAAAGACTTCCACAAGTTAGAGAATATACAACACCCCGGGCCGTGTGGGATATTGAAAGTTTGAAGGTTTCATGTGTGTTTCAGGTATGAACATAAAAAAATGAAAAGAACAGCTACATTATTGTCCTTACATTTCTTCTAATATTTGTACGCTGAGGTTGCGTGTGGCCAAGTTAATATAACAGAGTTGAAACGAACTTCGGTCTATAGTCAATGGTAAACTGACGTCTCTCCTTGCAGGATTAGCCCAAATACCAACCCTGTAACGTTTTACCGCGTTCCGTTGGCTGCCGATGCCAAACGACTATGTAACGTTACAAGCAACCGCTAGGCGTCGTTCCTAAGAAATGCCAAAAAGTTTTGAGCACTGATTGGACGTTTGTACAGTCGCAATCACACTTCTATCATTTGTTTGCATTATGTGGCAACAATGCGGCCCGTTCTTTGACCGTTCCAATACAGCGTACTTCTGTCGTACATAAATAATGATGGTGTTCTAAATTCGCGGTTGCTACGGCGACGACGCCACCGTTCTAGAACAGCATTCAGAAAACAATTTTCAGGACGACGAAGACACTATCAGTGTCGAACCTGTGTAGCTATGGCGTCCAAACAAGTCAGTTTCACCACGGCCTCGCGGTCCGCCGAATCATACACGAGTCTTCGCGAAAAGCTTCGGTCCATGAGGAGCCAATCGGCGCGCTCGTCCGCGGCGCCATGGACTCGGAAACACGCGCCGAAGAAGGCCGAAGAGCCGACGACCGCCTTCGTCCTTGACGACCATCCGCAGGAGTTACAAGCGGGCGCGCAGAGTTTCTGGAGAGAGGACTTCTTCCAAGACGCGTGCGTGATCGTGGAGGACAAGAGCTTCCTGGTGCACAGGTTAGTCCTGGCGTCATACAGCGCCTACTTCCGCAATATCTTCATGGTGGACCAAGAGGCGAACGAAGACGGTATGTTCGAAATCACCCTGTCTGGCGTCCAGGCCAAAGTGGCGGATAACGTCATCCAGTCCATGTACACATCCAGACTCAACCTCAGCAGCACGAACGTGTTTGACGTGCTGGAGCTGGCGGATGGGCTGAAGTACACAGTAGCCGTGCAGGCCTGCACCAAGTACTTAAGGGACAACCTCAACCTGGAGAACTGTCTGAGGACCATGTCCTTGGCGATCAGTTACCACCTGGACGACTTGAAGGAAGATTCGGGAAAGTTTGCTGCGGACAGGTTTGAGGAGGTACGTATTCACCAATTTCACACTTCCCATCATGCCTAGTAAAAGTCACGGATATGACGTAAGACCACCACCCTTCCCCCTTCCTCGATGTAATATTTCCAAGTTCTATCGACAAACTGGTCAACTATTGTTTTTAATTATTTCTCTAGTACAGTATAAAGCGCATGCCATAATTGCATTTTTGTTGGAATTAGATGAAATCGTTCTAATATACGTAATGCGACCGAGCGAGTAGGAGAGTCTTCGGTAGAATTAACGATAGAAGGTACGTCATTTTCTCTAATTCCAACAAAAATGCAATTATGGCATGCGCTTTATACTAGAGAAATAATAGTTGAGCAGTTTGTCGATAGAATTTGTTGGAAATATTACATCGAGGAAGGGGGGGGGTGGTCCTACGTCATATCCGTGACTTTTACTAGGCATTATGGGAAGTGTGAAATTGGTGAATGAAGTAATCTCCAAGCAGATGTCTGGCGGCAAAAGCGTTACGATTAAAACTGCCTATCTAGAGAGTACTCGGGTGGCAAATGGTAACTGTCTGGCAATTTGATACTGTCTTTGCAGCCACCAAAAGATCTGCTTGGAGATTATGTATGAATGTGAGGCACTCACCGCTACTACCATCCACCATTTGCCCCTATATCATTGAATGTTCAAACTATAATGTCTTAAAACCGGTATACTATGGCCATTCATTGATAGTAAATTGCGATCTTTCAAACAGGACATACATGATACTTACGACAAAATCAGGTAACATTACATGTACATTAGGTTCTTCAAATGCTTGCCACCAAAATCTAAAGAAAATGTCGCACATATTATGACTGAAGACGGAATACTTCGAAAACTTCTCAATATCGGTATGATTTGGATGTTTGAATTTATCTCGTACTCCCACCTTCCTCACCACCATTAGTAACAAGAATTCACAGATCTCATACCTCGATGAAATATTTAGAGCTTTTGTAAATGTTCTGATGCAGTACCAGGGTCAATCACTAGGAGACCCACATTTGACCTTGACCTTCGTTGCCAAGCAACATCATCATAATCCATTGTCTTCTCAAGTTATGTTGACCACAAATATGCGGAAACACACACACACACAAAGACACGCACACACAGACACACGCACGCACACACACACATACGCGCGCGCGCACGCACGCACACACACACACACACACACAGAGTCATTTTATGGAGGTAATAACTACAATCATCAGGGTTCTCTGCTACACAGGTTAAGAACACGGCAGGCTTCATAGCTCTAGAGTGGTACACACTGCGTGATTTCATCGCCAGAGACGACTTGCGAGTCACGCGAGAACTGCAGGTGTTCCAGGCGGTGGTGTCCTGGCTACAGAAGGACCGGGCCAAACGAGAGAAATGGGCGGTACGTCTGATGGAGAACGTCCGTTTCCCCCTCATGACACCCAACGAGGTGGTGGACAATGTGGAGTCCGTGGGTTTTCTGATGTCCGCCCCCGAGTTCCAGGAGTTGGTGAAGGAGGCCACGCACTACCACCTGACGCCCTTACGGCAGAGCATCCTCCAGTCGCCGAGGACAAACCCGCGGTCGTCCGTTCGTCTGCCCGCGGTCCTCGGCATCGGCGGTACCGGGAAGAACGGCGGGGTCATCACGTGTTTCAGTCCGGCGAGCGGCGAGTGGAGAACTTTCACCAAGATGGAAACAGTCGCAAGACATCACCACGCAGGTACTTGTCACACATTCAGAACCTTCCCCCGACCAACAGCCGACCAATGTTGGCTCGGGTTCCGCTGTCTGACCAGATTTAGGCCATGTCTATACGAATCGAATTGAATTTGAGTCAAATTTGACTGCCAACCACGCCACGAACAGCTTGTCAACCAAAGCCGAACCTTCCGTCCGCATCCCAATGTGATAAAATGGAACATTCGGCTGGCGAAGCCGAACAGCAGCCGACCATCTGAGCATCTCCCGACCTACTCCTAACCATGGTTGGGAGAGTTCGGCTGGTGTTCGTCAGGTGACAGGGGCGTAACGGTCGGCAGCGCACTGTGTGACATCGAACGCAACAAAGTGTTCAGGTCGCCTCCCGATCAGAGTTGTTACACTCTGGTGAGTGCCCATTGGTGTGGTTTAGACCAGAGTTTGTGACTGAAGTTGTACGCAACTTTAATTCTCGCCGGCACTTGTACATTATGAAAAATAGAAGAAAAATTTAACAAGAGACTCAGACTTATGAAACGGAAACTCTTATTATGAGCGAGATAATTGAAATAAGTTATGATGTTATTTGAAGAAGTCTCGCAGTCATGTCATGATGATGTGTTATTCCCACAGTTGCTGTCCTGGGAGGTTTTGTGTACATCGTTGGTGGAGAGGAGTTGGGGAAAAGCAAGTCTGTCCTGTCTACAGCGTGTCGGTACGACCCGCGAACCGGGGAATGGTTGACGGTGGCCAGCATGAACAAGTGCCGACAGAGCTTCCAGCTAGGTGTGCTGGACGACTTCCTGTACGCAGTAGGTAAGACGGAATGTTATCATGAAAGTTCATCTGTGTTGGTAGTTACATGTTTGAACTTAAAACTTTTGGTCCAACAAAAATTCTCTCACCTAGAGCTTTCGACCAGTCACTCTGGTCTTCCTCAGTAGACTGACCCAGTGAAGCTTGTCACGTGGCTTCTTTGAAGTGTGACGTCAACACTGGGTCAAAGGTATCTGGTAGACGATGTCGACCCCCGTCGCGGTTCAAGACGGAATGTTGTTTTATATATCTCAGAGTAGGAGCAGGGTTTGGAAGGTGCCGTATAATGTGTGTTCTTTTGAAGACAGTCATCATATAGGTCCTCCCGAACACCCATGGCCGAACTCCCCCCAACCACGATTAGGAGTACTCTCCAAGCAGAGGTTTGGGTTTTGGGGGTATTTTTAGCGTGTTTTTAGGCTTTTTATCGGGGTTTCTCTTTTACACTGAATTTCTTTCCCACCAAACCCAACCTCTGCCGGCACTCACCCCGGGGAGGGGCAAACCTTGGGTTTGGTGGGAAACAAATTCAGTGCAAAAGAGAAACCCCGATAAAAAAAAGCCTTAAAACACGCTAAAAATACCCCCAAAACCCAAACCTCTGCTTGGAGAGTAGATTAGGAGTAGATCGGGAGCAAAGTGGCTATTCAGCATCGCCAGCCGAATGTTTCAAAATGTTTCAAACGAGTTCGGGGGGTTGGTCGGGAGGTTCGGCGCGGTTGGCTGGTGTTCGTTGGCAAGTCAGCAGAACACCAGCCAACCATTCGGAAGTAAGTCAGTAGTGTTTATGGCGTGTTCGGCGGTGAAATTTGACTCAAATTTAACTCAAATTCGTTTCGATTCGCATAGAAAGGTAGGCCGTGGGCCCTAAAATCCTGGGCCAGAGTGCTCCCGAACGTCAGCCGAACGTCATCGGCTGATGTTGGGGATTAAATTTGGGGATGGTCGGCTTTAGGAATGCTCCTGGTCGTAAGGTGCAGTTTTAAAATCTCGTCGACAGATGGCGCTGGCTCTCTTCACAAATATTCTCCCTGACGGATGCAACCTTCAATATCAGTGATAAAGGTCGACTAACTGAAGACTAATATTAGGAATGTCGGGCTCTATTTCATTTTACAACGGTCTGGTTTTGTCTCCTTGGAGAGAACAATGAAATAACCAAACGTTGACCGTCACGAGCTCAGGCTCACGGCCAGCTAGGGAACACCCGTGCCGGTTAACTTAATAAATACGAGTTAGGCCATGTTGATTTGATTATATGGATGACATCCGCGCGCGCATGAATTTTCGGCCGTTTCAAAAAAAAAAAGTTTTACAACCATACTGTAAATCGTACAAAACAGTTGCAAAAATAGAGCAAAAATATACCATACCGTAAGTTACAAAAAAAAACCCATGCCAATGTCGTAGAATGTCAAAATCAAGAGAAAAAAGACGAAATTGTAAAGAAAT